TTAGGAAGCAGCCCTCTGAAGGACCTTGCCTCAGTATAATCGTGACTCACCTTTGCACAGAGAGGGAAACTGGTGCTGACAGACACGCATTGCCCACAGTCACGCACCCATACAGAAGAGGAACAGAAAATAGGTAACCAAGTACGGTCAACAAGCTATTGGTAAATTCAAAATTGGCTGGCTTATCACAAAATAGGAGAATTCTTGGAAGCCAGTGCCGGCTTTCCCACGAGCCTCCCTCACCTGCCTTTTTCCTGCCTGATTTTCCTGTGCTCCTTTCCTGTCGTAAGTTAAGTAGTTACTGTAAGGGCTGAGGTGTGGCTCAGTGCCTCCCTGGTAGAATGCAAGCGAGCTCATTCTTCAGGAGGCCTTGGGTTCGAATCCCAGCACTGCCACCACCGCAAACTCCAACAGAGACAACTGTAACAATTTGTCTAATGCATCCCTGAAGCTGAGAACTATCTTAGGGATGCAGAAATTCCATTCTTGGCTAAACATCCCAAAGAACCAAAAGCAAAAGCAGACTCATCACAGCAGTATTCACAGTAGCCCAGAGGTGGGAACATCCCAGGTGCCCATCAGTGGCTGAATGAATAAACAAACCATGGGGTGCCCATAGATAGGGAATACAGCCAGAAAACAGGAAGGGAGCTCTGCAGCATGGGACCATGTAGACAAACCCGAACCTATTTTGCTAAATGCAATATTATTCACATGACAGATATACAAAGAAGCAAATTCATAGAGAGGTCAAGAGTAACAGGGGTTAGTGAGGACTGGGGTTGGGAGAGGATGGATGGGAGTTACTGGCTAATGTAGCGATGAAAAATGGTAGAAACAGTGGTGATGGCTGTACAACATTGTGAAGGTAATTGATATCCCTGAACTGTGTACTTACACATACACCTGGAACCCCTGCACTTGAGAGGCTGAGGCAGGAGGATTTGGAGGGCAGCCTGGGCCACACAGTGAGGTCAAGGTCAGCCTGGGCTACCTAGAGAATTCAAGACCAGCAGGAACTGTAGAGGGAGACCCTGTTTCAAAAAAGAAAAGGAAAGGAGAAATCCAGTTTTGATACTGCTACCAAGCTTCCCTCCAATAGTTTTTGACAACTGTTAACTCTCTAAATGCTAAATTTGCTGCTAGCAGTTTGAATCAACCTGCAATGAAATGAAGATTTAGGGAAAAAAAATCTATATTGAAAGGGAATTTTTTTTTTTTTTTTTTTTGAGACAAAAGGTTTCACTAGGCAGTTCAGGCTGGCCTTGAATTTACTTTGTAGCCTAGTAGGCTGGATTCAAACTCTGTAGCAACACTCCCATTTCAGCCTCCAGAGTGCTGGGATTACAGGCGTGCATCACCACACCCAGTGATATTTTATTTTTTTAAAATGTCTCTGTTTAGTGGCTAATGGATTTGGACAGATCATAAAAGCTAATATAAAAGCCTTCCATGCTTGTAGTTCCAGAAATGTCTAAGCAATCATCCTGATGAGGAAAGCTGCCAGAACAAAGCTTCAAACGACACATAACCTCCTTGCATTTTGCTGCTGGTCTTGCAGTATTAAAAACAAAAAGCACAGACTTACAGTATTAAAAACAAAATTTCCATAGCCAATGGTTTTGGCATCATTTTTGCTTACTGGAGCCTCCAAAGAAAAAGGGGACAACATGGAAAGGGGTCGTCTTCTGTCCTTGGAGACACACTGGGAATTTTGAAGATTTTTAGTTACCATGAGCTCCTGTAAGATCAGATGCTCGGGCCTCTGAGCCTATTTCTCTGTGGGTTCCTTTGGACTCTAGGAGTAACAGCTGTCCACGGCTTGGGAAAGCCTGGCTCAGCTTGGTCTTGGAACACAGCCCTCCGGTTCTGGCTCCAGCTCTGGGGGTTTGGCTTTGTGACGGGAGAAGACACCTATGGAGAGTCTAATTGCCTGGCTCCACTCTGACCTGGAACCTGACACCGCTGCGTGCCGCCAACTGTTCCAGCCTCAGCACAATCTGTGCCCAATTTAACAGTCAGCAACGCTCAGCCCTCTTATTGCTGCAAGATTTAGGACATGGCTGTGAGGTCCTGAAATGATAAAAACAGCATGAATGCTGGTGGGACCTGCTGGGTCACACTGATTCGCCCCGAAAAAGGGACCATTCCCTGGAGCCGTCTGTGACCAGGCTTCTGATTCAGCCTGTGCTTCTGACGCAAACACGAACTGCATTTCCACTTGTGATGTCTGCCCCCAACTGCCAGTTCAGGCAGGTTCCTCCCGGGCTTGTGAACTCCCTGCCTGTTCAGGCCAGCTGTTCCCTTGACCTCTCCTGGGGACGCCTCGCTGCTGCTGCTGCTGCTGCCTGTTGATGATCACATTTGGCTTCCCAGATTAGTTAGTGTACAACAAACAGTTAGTTTACAACGCTAAATTGTTAGGCTGACGCCACCTTCTCATCTTCCTCTGGATACACCAGGCGTCCAGAAAGCAAGTCGATGACATGAACTACAGCTATCCTTAAAAAAAAAAAAAAAGGATTACTCTCACTCTCCTCTAGTCCGCTCACTGGATGAATCATTTAAATGAAAGACCGAGAGACTACGTAGCACATTTCGAAATTTTTAAATGGTTCCAACCAATTCCTGAACATGTTGTGCCTTTATAATTAAGTTGTGGTAAAAAAAGTTCTTGGTGACTATATTTGTATTCCTCTTACAGTGAGCGACCTTTCCTAATTAAACAGAAGAGGAAGGAATGATTAGGAAAAAATGTAAAGTTACGATAGCGAAAAGGACACACAGAAGACAAATTTTAAAAGACAACATCAAAACCCCCAACCAACCAACAACCCCACCTAGACAACATGGAAAGGAGGGAGAGCATTAGTAATGATCTTTGCTTTGGCCAGGGAGAGAGCTCAGCAGGCTGAAGGTGGATCATCACCCCCTGCCACAGAAATGCAGGGTCAGGCAGAAGTTACAGCAGTCATGGCAAATTCTAACCAGGAACTGTTGCAATAGGGGAGAAAGACAGTGTGTGACTGGGTTCCTGTCCAAATGCAGGACTGAGCAACCAGGGGACAGGGAGGGGCCAGTGGGTGGGAAATCACTAAAAGGAAACCCAGGAAGGGGGCTGGATTCCAGCCACTGACTCAGCAGAAGCCTGGAGTAAGCTGGCCAGCTGCCCAGGCTAGGTCCTAATGGGCTTGGCAGAGCCTGGCTAGAGTTAGGTCCAGGAGAACCTTCCTGAACTGTGAAGCAGGAGGAGTGGCCTCAGGCCTTGCAATTGTTGTGTAAAACATCTCCAGATATCCACATCCCTCAAGGACAGTGGCTTATTCCACCCAGGCAAAATTGTTTGGAACTGCCTAGCTTCTTCCTCCTAAGACCCAGGACGGGGTAAGAATTCTAGACTGGACAAGAAACCCCCTGGATAGGGGGCTCCCCTGTGCAGAGACACAAAGGGGCACTGTTAACCAGTTTGCCTGCCATGTGAGCCACTGTGTGCACTCAAGGCTGGGTTCCCCCTGGGGTTGTACTTTTTGTAGGCACCCTGACTCCCATGGCACGGCTTCAGCCCTGGAAGATATTCAGATCAGATTCAGTCCACTGGCTAGGATTATTCTGTGCCTCAGATAAATTAACCAAGGAATTTAAGTAGGAAACCGTCTGCCTTCCTTAGTCAGAGCTTGAGATCAGCTCTGAAGTTTGGTCTTATCCTTCTGTGTGGGGTCCTATCAATAACGATTTGTCTACAGACAGTCTGGTCAAGGCCAAGGAGAAAACTGTTTTGAAAAGTTTTACTGCACCTGGCCTGAGATGTGCTTCCTTAGAAATGCTCATTGCAAAATGGCCCCCAAGAGCACCTGAGAGCTCAGATTTTGCAGTGGCTCTTACCAAGGAAAAAAGTGCTTTATGGCACCTAAACTTTTTCACAGTGTGTCTTACGCTGGATATTTGCTTTTCCTTACAGGTCTTGGATTCTAGCTTGATAGAAGTCTGGTGTCTCTGCAGTCAGCCCCAACCTTTATTGGAATCAGGGTTTGTGAGGGAAAAGATTTAATAAAGGACGTGTAATTTGTAGGATTATTTTATAAGATTTACCCAAAGAGTCAAATGCAGAAGAGTGCAGGATATCTGTCCATGCACTAAAGACTCAAAAGAATCCAGCTGAGAGCCTGGATCCCACGGAAACATCCTGTATGAGTCCAGCTGGAAACCTAAAACCCATGGCAATGTGTCATGCAAGTCCGTTTCATGGATCTGTGCTGGGAAGACCCAAAGGTCTGTGGTGGAAGCTAGAAAGTCTGTGCCAACAGGGTGAAGGATCTGTACCAGCAGGCTGAGGAATCTGCACTGGAGCCAAGAAGTTCACATGTAAGGACTGGAGCTGCCTCAAAGAACACTGTAGCCAGCCTGGGTGACAATGCAGATCCAGCCTCCTCTGAAGATGACAACAGCAGAGTTCATATAAGGAAACACAGCGTGACAAGCTTCTCCAAGAGAATCGATGGCACATCATGTTCTCCTCTAGTTCCTTTTTCATGCCTTTGGCAACCCTCCTCAGATGGGCCTTCCACACCCAGAACCATGCCCAGCTCAGCTGGGTGTTACAAGTTGACCATTAGTTAGTCCACACGGTCATTAAGTCTAGAGAGCCACTTGAGCAGCAGCACTTCTGAAGTCCTGGAGGGAGGACTCCGCTCGGAGAGGATGCTTAGAAGTTTGTAGTTTGTTTTCTGTGGACTTCCTTCCATGTGCTTTTTTTCCTTTGCTAATTTTCTTCTGCACTCTCAGTGTGATAAACATAACCATGAGTCTAACAAGTGCGGGGGCTTGTGATTCCTTCTGGCCAATCATTAAATCTGAGGGTACTCTTGGAGACTCCAGAGTCCTTTCTCTAAAGTCTGTTTTTTTGTATGTTTGTTTTGTTTTGTTCAGGACCTTGAGTTTGCCAGGCAGGCACTGTGCTGCTGAGCTATATCCCCAAGCGCAAAATCTTTTTTTTTTTTTTTTTTTTTTTTTTTGTCTTTTTGAGACAGGGTCTCACTATGCAGTTCAGGCTGGCCTTGAGCTTACTTTGTAGCCCAGGCTGGTCTTGAACTTGCAACGATCCTCCAGCCTCAGCCTCGCTAGCGCTGGGATTACAGGCGTGAGCCACCACATCCAGCATTTTGTTTTGTTTTCTGAGGCAGGGTCTTGCTATGTAGTCTATGTGGTTCAGGCTCACCTTTAACTCACTTGGTAGCTCAGGCTGGCCTCAAACTCCCTGTGATTCTCTGCCTCAGCTCCCTGGGTGTTGGGATTACAGGCTTCTACCACCACGCCTGGTCCCCTATTTTGGTAAAAATACATAGAATTCTATGATGTTCATAGATAATTTAAAAATATTTCAATCATACTTCCTTGTAGGCATCTCATAAATACAAGATTGAGATAAATAGTTTTAAATTTTTTCCCTATTGGCTTAATTTTCTTTTTTCTAATTTTCACTATTTTTGTGGGCTTTTTATTGGTACATTTTAGTTATAAATAATGATCACATTCATCCAAGGCAATTTGTATCTGTGTTGGTTACTTTTCTCTCATTGCTGAGACGATATTCCTGATATGCAAAATTAAGGAAGGAAATATTTACTTAGCTCACAGTTTGTGGAGGTTTCAGTCCATAATCTGCTGGGTCCGAAGCAGGGTGGTTCGTGGCAGAAGGCCATAGTTCTTTGTGGTAGAAAACTGTGAAAGCAACAGGAGCAAAAAGAGAGGAGTGTGGAGAAAAGACTTTCTGTCCCTTACATTGGATGTAGACTACCTACCCTAAGGTGGGTGTGGCACTCACACCTGTAATCCCAGCATTGGACCATGAATCAGTGGAAACTAGAATCCCGGTCCTGTGACTACATGAGACTTTGGGGGGACATACAGACACAAACCATAAGATGACCTGCACATGATACATCTTGACTCTTCGTTTGCTCTCTCATTCCCCTCCTTACTTACAGAAGCTTTCTTTCCATTTTTCCTTTTGATTCTCTTATTTTCTTGTCCTTTCCTTCCTTTTCATCCCTTCTCCTTTGTTCCCCTTCTCCTTTGAACATTTGCTTCCCATTTCCTAATATCTATGTACAATCTAGTCCTTATTTATACTTTTTGGTTTCTTACACCAGAGAATGATGCAGTATTTATTTATTTATTTAAAAGAGAAGAAAATCAAACCAGACAAAACAGAATAAAGTTAATCAGAACTGAACAGTGAAAGCAATATAGGACTTCAAAACAAGATAATAGAAAATTAGCAATGACTACCATAATATTTCTTGTTTTCTCCAAAATAACTATGCATAGCATCAGACATAATGAAATCAAACAAAACAAAACAGAATAAAACCAATCAAAACAAAAGAATGAAAGTGTTACAGGACTTCAAAATAAGATAGTAGGAAATCAACAATGGCTACCATCATACATCTTGTTATCTTTGAAACAGCTGCCCATACCACCAGACACAGTAAAATGGAACAGAACAAAACTATGAAAAAAATACAGGAATTCAAAACAAAAACAAAACATAATAAATTTGAACTGGGGATGTGGTTCAGTGGTAGAGTTCTTGGTTCTAATGTACAAGGCCCTGGGTTCCATCCCCAGCACCACTAAAAAAACAAAACAAAACAAGATAATAGGAAATTAACAATGGCTATCGCCTTCCCTTTTAAAATGTTTTCCCCTATCACTTTCATAATGTCTATTGTGCATTTTGGGCCTCAGTAATTCCTTCAGGTATTTTTATGCTAGGAGATAACATGCTGTTCACCCCTGTGAGTCCAAACCATCTCACCTATGAGCATGGTCCCATTTACCTGTAAGAGGTTATCCTTCTTTAGAGCTGAGTAGCTTCCCATTGCATAAAAATACCATATCTGATCCATTCTGTGGTTGATGGGCAAAAGACTCCTGTTTTTTTCTTTCTGGTTTCCTGTTGCATAGAACAATTGTTTTCTTTCCTTTGACTTTGGGTCCATGAATTTCTTTTCAAATTAAATGTGTTTTTTACACATAATATTAATGGATCTTCTTTCTTAATCCACCCTTCCTGTGTTTCTTCTTATTGGTGAATTGAGGCCATCTGCATTAATGGTTAAACTGGCGTGCACTGGCCCATCTCTGCTGTGCTGTCCTCCTACTGTTGATTCTGATGGGTTTTCCTTTCTAGGTGATCTGTTTCTTTTCTCCAACAGCCTTTAATATTCTGTTCTTGTGCTGGATTTCTGGGATCTTGATTATTAAATGTCTGGGTGTGGATTTATTTTGGTTACGGAGTTTTGCATGCCTCACTTATCTGTCTTCCTTTTCCCATGTTCTGGAAGTTTTCTGCTATTACGTCTATAAATAATCTTTTTATGTCATTTGTGTTGGCCCCATTTTTTCGCTGACACTTACCACTCTTAAATTATTTTTCTTTGCATTGTCTTACAGCTATTGAATTGCTATTTCCTGGTCTCTTGTTCTTTTCAAGAGAGTGTTTCTTTCACAATCACTGTCTTCAGTCCTGTCTTCAAGGTCTGAAAGTCTAACAGCAGTCTCTTTCAAGCAGTTTTGCCAGCTTTCAATGGAGTTTTTAAATTTCCTGGAAATCTCTTTGAATCTGCTTCATGCATTATAATTCCTTCCTATATTGTTAATTCAAGGTTTCCATCACTTTCCTAAGCTCCTCTTTTTTTTTAATCTATGTCTCCTTTAGATATGCTCAGCAATTCCTTCACTATGTTTGTGATTTCTTTCTTTTTTTTTCTACCTGGGATATTATTTCTGATCTGATTACTTTTACAGCCTCTTGAAGCTGTTCCTTTACTTCAGTTGCTATCCTTTTGGAGATTTCAGGTGTATGACTTCCATTTTCTTCCACATCTCTGTCTCCCAGACTTGTGTGTGGGTTGGAGGTCTGAGGTTGCCTTTTGTCCCTTCATCTCAACATTTTCCTGGGTTCCTCCCAACAAGCCAGTTGTGGGGTCCCAGGTGCTTCCCACATTGTCTGCCCCTCCACAGTGTAGGGGAATGGGCCAGGCACCTGGGTTGCAGGTTTCAGGAGAACCAGTGGGGCCTCGGGAAGGCTTCTCCAAATCTGGGCAGCTCCACCGAGGCTTCCCTCATGGCCATAGTTATGTGGTGGTGGGGCTGCTGCTTCTCTCACAATGCAGTATTTATGTTTCTCTCATAATGCACATATGTCTGATTTATTTCACTGAAGAATATGGTCTCAGAGTGCATCCACTTAGCTAAGAATGTCCCAAGCCTATCCTATTTATGGCAGTTATGGTACTCCATCATACAAAAAACCCACACCTTCTTACTCATTCACCAGTTAATGGGCATTTGGGCTGTTTCCAAGATTTAGTTATTATAAACTGTAATAAGAGAGAGTTTGTTTGGATTTTCAGAACCCTAAAAGTCATATTACTGAACTCTTTTATTTAAGCCATTCACCATCTACTTCTTTAGGAGACTGGAGTTAGGCCAAGGCCTCAGTATCTCTTCCCTTTTTTGGTGATTTTATTTTGCTGTGCTGCTTTCATTGTATCCTTACTGAACCTAGAGTTTTTAACAGTATGAGATCCCAGCTGTTGATTCCTTATTATATTTCTTGTGCAATTGCGGTTTTGTTTATAAGTTCTTTGCCTATACCAACATCTTCAAGGTTTCTACCTATTCTATTTTCCGGTAGATTTAGTGTTTCTGTTTTTTGTTTGCCTTTTGAGATAGGGGACTTGTCCTGCAGTTCAGGCTGGCTTTGAACTCACTTTGTAGTCCAAGTTGGCTTCAAACTCACAGCAATCCTCCTGCCTCAGCCTCCTGAGTGCTGGGATTACAGGTGTGTGCCTCTACTCCCAGTAGTATTTCTGTTTTGATATTAAGTTTATTTAGCTCTCCATTAACAAAATCTCTGCTTTGTCTTACACTCACTGGGAGTTTCATGTTCACCTTCTTCAGAGCCTGCCAATGATGGAATAGTACAGAGACCATCAGTACCCATGATAGTTGGTGTCTTTTCTGAGATAAAAATCTGGTATATATTCAATATCTGAGGTATAATTCGGAAGAGTCTGTTTTGCTGAGCCTGAGATCGCAGCTTTTCTTCTGTGTTAGCAGACATCTTTTCATGTCCTTCACTTGTCTGAAGAAGATTTGGTGTAAATATTACTGCAGGATTTCTGCTTTCACCTTACTCTTACTGGACCTAAGAGATACATTCCTGAGAACTTAAAAAACATCTTAATATATCAACTGCACCATCAGCCATACAGCAACAAAATAAGGACAGAGCTGTGGTCTTCTCCTGTGATTCTTCTGTTGAGTTTTTAAAAGAGCTTCTTCATGCAAGCAAGCTGGCAGCATGTGCCCTACCAGTTCCCTAAAGAACCGCTTCAGAAGTCCTGCAGTATCACAAGGAAGTGCAGAGGACAGGCCACCTTCCCCATTGTCCAGTTTATTCTTCAGCGTCTTTAGGCCAGTAACAGATCCTGATTTCCTAAAAAGCCCTTTGGTCTGAATGTGCTCTTCTAAAGATGTGCAAGCCTCCACAAGAAAGCTTGGAATCTGTTTGTATTCTGATACAACAGTACTGGGCAATGCGTTAGAAGGTCCCCCAATATCTTACCCCCATTTCCATGGCTGCTGATTCATGCTTCCTGCCATCACACTGCCCATGGCCACTCTTGACCTTAATGCCATAGATAGCCCAAAGGTCTGCAGCAATGCCAATCTAACCAGCCTCTGACTCCACATTCTGGATGTGTCCTCCCCTCTCAGGGCAAGATCCGGGTCCTGAGTTCTGTTTATCACCAAGTCTTGCAACTCTCCAACACTCTCAGATCAGAGCTCTGCTCCTCTGCCTTCCAGGTGTGTCATACCTATGACACTCCTCTGGCCCCAGCCCTGGCCCCAGGCACTGCCACAGCTTTACCTGTGACCTTGTGTCTTTCGCACACCCGCTCCTCTTGACTGTGGGGTCCAGCCATGTGTCACTCTCACTTGCATCAGCCTTCTCTTCCTCACCTCATCCCTTCAGCTACTTACATGGGCTTCCCTTTGGACTCCCTGATTCTTCAGTACCTGGCACCAGTGCCTGCTGCCAGCCTCTCACCGCTTCTGACCACTTCCAGTGATCCCTTCCTGCCAATCTTCTTTGCCTGCTTCAGCTCTCTTTGAAATGAAAGACGACCTCTACTTTGTCAACCCAGGCAGGCAAAGCTGGGTGTAAGCCTCTCTGCCCTGTGCCCCCTCCCCAGCCCAGCCGCTGGACCAGCCCACTGCTCAGGTGCTCTTCCAGCCCTGGTCCCTTCATTTCATCAGGGCTCCTTCTTTCCCCCATCAGCCCCAGGTACAGTGCCCCAGCCTGCATGTCATGATGCACTAATGCCAGGCAGCTCTCCTCAGGCCTCAGCCCCGCCTCCTCTGTAGACACCAGGTCCTCTGTAGTCCGGCTGTCCCTCTGCAGTCAAAGCCCAGGCTGAAAGTCCGTATGTTACACCTCCTTCTTTTTTCCCATTCCCCTCCCCTCTCTTCCACTTCTCTTCTCCTCCTTTTTATAAAAGCTTTGTTTCTATTCTTTCCTTTTATTCTTTTTTCTTGTTCCTTTTTTTCTTTCCCCTGTTCATCTGAACATTTCTAGCTAAATGGATGCACCTTGAGACTATTCTATTTAAGTCAAATAAATTGGACACACATGTTTAAATACCACATTTTTTCCTGTGGTGTAGAAGGTGTAAATAAGGACCAAAATGTATAATGGATTTTGGGAAATGAGAAGAAAATGCTCTAAAATCTTTTAATATTCTGTTCCTATGTTGAATTTCTGGAATCTTGACTAAAATATGCCTTGGTGTAGACTTTTTAAAAATCATTGCTAATTAAAGTTCTATATGCCTCAGTTACCTGTATGTGAAATTCTTTTATCATGCTTGGGTAGTTTTCTGTCATTACTTCTGTGAACAGGATTTTTTTTAATGTTGTTTGCAATATCTCCTGCTTTTCATTGACTCCAATCAATCTTTTTTTTGGTACCAGAAATCAAACTCATGGCCTCAAACTTGCCAGGCAGCACTTGTGCTGCTGCCTGACACCAATCAATCTTAAGTGTTTGTTTTTTTGCATTATCTAGTGGTTGTTGAATTGATTTTTCATCATCCTTTGCTATTTTTAAGAACTTCCTTTTCATGATCACTAACAATTTTGCCATCTATAGCTGACATTCTGTCCTTGCATGGGCTTATTCTGCTGTATATACTTTCTTTTCTTTTTTAATTTTATTTTGAAAGTAGTAAAATACAACAGAACAAGACAGAATAAAGCCAACTAAGATCATACAGTGAAATTGGTACAGAACTTCACAGTAGGTTGCCGGGATAACAGTAATAGGTATCACAGTATATTTCGTTATTTTTACAATAGTTGTTCTTTCAATCAAGTATATCAAAATAAAATGAAATACAGAACATTATAGAACTTATCAAAACAGAATATTGAATAGAGCAGTACCATTAATCAGAATAGAGCAAAACAGTAATAAAAATATTTGCCTTCAAAGAGATGGTAGAAAGAAATCCCCTTATTTGCTATGGTCATCCTCCCAGGAGATGCTCAGATTTCTGGTTCCCATTTGCTAACGGGGGGTGGGGGGGGGGAGACAGAAGAAGGTGGGTAGGGGAAGTGGGATGTTTGACTCTAGGCCATGCACCAGTAGGTTCACTATTGCTTAGCAGGGAGGCAGGCTGATTGCTTGGTTCTCCAGCTTCATAATTTCCAACATGGTTCAGCTCTCAGGAGACACTGATGATTCTCCCCCTGGAAGGGCCGCAGTCTGCCACACCAACACTGCTTACCAGGGTGGGGAGGTGCTTGCTTGGCTTCCCAGTGTCCTAAGTTCCAACATGGCGCAGATCTCAGGAGCTGCTGGTGGTTCTCCCCCTGGAAGGGCCGCAGTCTGCTGCATATACTTTTAATGGAATTTTTAATCTCTTAGATATCTGTTTAAATCCCTTTCATGGATTCCCTTTCTTTCCTATGTTGAATATTGACAGTTTCCATCATTTTCCTAAGTTTCTCTTTTATTTCATCAAAATCTGCTCTAGGATTTCTAACCGTGTCTTACATTATGATCACCATCTCTGTAATTATCTGAGAAATTATTTCTGATTTGATATTTTCTATAGCTTCATTCATTTGCTTGCTACTTTTGCTGTTACCACTTCAGAGTCCAAGAGAGTGGCTTTCACATGGGTGCATCTCATGGTCCCTTGGGTTTTCCTTTGGTGAGCTTGACATCTGGAGTTACACCTTGCTTAAGTGTCTTCTCATTTTCTATTTTTAAAGTTTCATTCCTGGGTTGATGCCTGTAAATTGCTTATGGCAGGTAGCTTTATTGTTAGCATTGAGAACCCTTAGGAAATGGCTACTTCTTAGAGATGCCTTCCAGGTATAGCTGGTTTTTGAATGCTGAGTCTGTTGCAAGCTCCTACCTCTTCAATTTATTGGGGATGAGGAAGTGCTGCCACTTGGCCTACCCCCTGGTTTTTTGGTACTGTCCTATAGTACTGTTTCTGACATTATGTTGGTAGAAGGCCAAATTGGGGGTGTTTACCCTGAGGTCACTTCCTCCTGACCCAGTACAACTTCCTTTTCCTTTCCCAGTGCAGCTCCTCACGCATCATCAATGCCACCCTAAGCACCAACCCAGTCAAAGGTTACATATACCCCACACCCCACATTCCAGTTGAAGGAGACAGCCCAGTCGCCATGGGTCGTGTGCTCCTTCCCACGTCCTCACCTCAGTAAACCTGTTCATTTTGTACTTTTGCTTCTCTGTTCTGCCAGAATGCCCTGACACCCCTCCCACACAGTGAGTCAGGGTACCCAGAGAAAGCTCCACTCACCAGCTCCTTTGGTCTGCAGAACTCAAGAGACTGGAGAGACCACAGGTGAGTCAGGTTTTATCAGGTGTACACCTGGCTCAGCAGGATTCGTGTCCAAAATGGTTGAACGCCAAACAAAGGAGAAGCTTCTGTTTTCATACATTTTGTGAGGGGGTTGGCATGAAACCGGAAGGGGGTGCACGTGAGGTTGCAGAAACTGAGACTACAGGCAGTTACTTACCAGTGACAGTTTACATCTTATCTTTGCAAGAAGACGGATTTTAGGAACTCCAGGGTGCTACAGGACTCTGTTTACAGAAACGCAGTTGTCAAATTTATCTCTATCTCTTGAAAGAAAGCAGGTGCCAGGATGTCGCTGGGCTTGTTGTATAGAAACATGATTGTCTACGTTTCCAGTATCTAAGCAGGGGTCAGCTTAAAGGTAAGTAGGTTCCTGAGACACCAGGACACTGCAAGACTCCATTTATAGGAGCATAGCTATTAGCTTTGTCTGTAGCAGGGGTCATTGGTTACAGAGAAGAGGAGTCCACCAGGGAACTGCTCAAGGATAAGAAACAAACAGGTTTTTCTCTAAATTCTGTTTTACTTTTTCTTCATTGAGGTCTGTCTCTTCACTCTTCCCCTCAGGCTTCGATTCTTGCTTCAGATCCTTGCTGGGTCCCAGAGACCCACTCCCCCCTTTACCTCCTCATGTTGCTACATTCCAGCATCTGGACACTGAATTTCAGAGAGGGATTTTCTCTGCTGTTCATCACTCTGCCACCCTGATTCAATTTTTCAACTTTTAAAATTTCCTACAATGTAAGAACTGGGTTTTAATCCTACTTTGAAGTACAGATGTGTTTCTCTGGCTTTTGTTTTTACTTCCGTTTTAAGCAGAGCACTTGCAATAGATATGACTTTATAGAGTAATTTTTCTCTGGCACCAGGATTTTGAGAAAAAATTTATATGGTTAATCATATTTATGAATTTTCAAAGGCTTTCATTAAAAAAAAAATATTAAAAGCAGGATGGAGTAAAGCAGCAGGACCGTGTCGTTTCATGTTCTAGAAGTCACAAGCCTGACATCAAGGCAGAAAAGAAGTTGTCATTTCCAGAGGATGCATGACAAACTTGTGGCTCCAGGATTTCCTGTATGTATGGTTTATTCCATAACCGTGATTTCACCCCAGCCCTCCCAGCTCTGAGGTCCCTGTCCTTCACTCTGCAAGGCCGGTCTCCTTGGCCAAGAGGGTGCCAGCTAGAGGTGACCTTCCTTGGGTGCATCCAGCGTGGAAGACAGCAGGAAATGCAATTTGGGCCAACCAAGGATGATGACGTGGTACATGTGTGAAGAGCCACACAACAAATGTATGGATTAGGCTGAAGTGATAAACCTGTTTCTGGATAGTTTACTATAGTATTAAAGTGAAAATTAATCTTGAGAGCAGTATATGGGAAATTAATTAATTTGAAATTAATGAGGCCCTCAACCGGGGAGAAGTCACAGAAATGGGTGAGAAGGAAAAGGGATGAGCCATTGATGTCAAGATAAACCTGCGACCCAGTCACTCTGGATATTCAGAGAGAGCAGAAGATCACTGTGGCACTTTAAGCCAAGTAGTGCTACTATTAGCAAAAGCCAGAGAAACAGACAAGCAAAATAAAAACAAAAACAAATGAACAAAGCCTAAATCCATGACACAAAACCAAAAAGCAGAGTTGGGAACAACAGTTCTAAAAGGTGCTGGAAAATGATATTTGATTAGAGCCTCAATGCTCGAGTCCCTTCAAAATTCGTATGTTGAAATGTAACTCCCAAGGTGGTGGCATAAGAAGTGATTAAATGTTAGGGGCTCTCCACTTGTGAATAA